TTCCTCTCCATATTTTTTTAAAGTTTATTTATTTATTTTGAGAGAGGGAGAGAGAGAGAGCACTAACAGGGGAAGGGCAGAGAGAGGGAGAGAGAGAATCCCAAGCAGGCTCCACACTGTCACACCAGAGTCTGGCACAGGACCCAATCTCACCAACCATGAGATCATGACCTGAGCCCAGATCAAGAGTTGGATGCTTAACTGACTGAGCCACCCAGGTGCCCCAAATGATATTTTCCTCTGAAATCTTTGAGAAAAATGCACATGCATATGGAATATGGGCCAAATCTCTGGGAGAATCAGATTGTAGTTTGAGGAGAATGGTGGTGGTGGTGGGGGTGTTCCATAATTTTGATGGTAGTTTTTTGGACCCACTGCTCTACCCACAAATTTCTATGCATAAATACCACTCCAACCCTCAGGTTCTGAGAGGCATGGGACACTAGGGCAGCCTGGCAAAGAGAGGTGAGGGGAGCAGGTGGGCTTGTGGTATCCCACACCTCACTCCTGAAAGTTACCAATGACCTGTTTGTTACCCACATGCTGCCTGGATGCCGAACAGCATTTTTACAGGCCATCGTTTGATGAGTGTGGCTGCATCTGTGCCTCTGTTTTCAGGGGAACTGCCCCAAAGATGGGGCTGGGCTGAATTCTATAGGGTAGCAGTTGAAAGCCTGAATAGGTTTGAACACTGACCGGCTCACCACTTACCAGCTCTGTGACCTTGGGCTCGTGATTTAACCTCTGTAGGCCTTGGTTTTCTCCTCTGAGATATGATCATAGTCTCTGTCTTTTAAGCTTTTTAAAAATATATGTATATTTTTAAGTAAGCTCTACACTGTCCTCGGGGTGAACTCACGGCCCTGAGATCAAAAGTCGCATGCTCCATCAACTGAGTCAGCCAGCCGCTCCTTATAGTCCCTCTCTCAAAGGATTGCTAGGGAAATTAAATGAGATCGTGCATGTAAAGTACTTAGCACAGTGCCTGGCATATGGCAAGTGATCACACAGTTGTTTTTGCATATTTAAGGGCAGGGATCATCTTTTCGGTGTTGTAGAAGGCTCTCCACATAGTGCAGACTCCTATTCCTTTTAGCTGAAGCCATGAAAACAAGAATGAGGGGTCAACACCCAGAGAGAAAGACAGACATCACAGATAGGAGGGCTGGGGAGCTAAAACTAAGCTTCTTCCTACGTGGTGGGTCCAGAACCTACAGCTGGAAATGTCAGAGCATGCCCCCATAATATTGGGAATATGGGAAACACACAAAGACTTGGTGACATGGGTGAGAAGACTGGCCTCCATAATTCTCCTAACAGTGGCTTGCAGCAGGTCAGGTTGTTGGAAGAGACCTGCCTGGAATTCAACCCATTTTTCTAGGGCCCAGAACTGAACCCTTGGTTTATTTCCTCCTCTGACTCCATGGAGGACCTCTTCCTTGCTCCAGATGCACACCCACAGTCTGGCGTCCAGCCTACAGGATGGGGAATGGGACATAGTTCTTCCTCTCATCTTAGCTGCTGTTTGCAGGAATTTGAGCCTAAGATATACACTGATGCCTTTTCCCACTGCTGGTGGCTGATCTCCCCATGCCCCTTTGGCAGAAGGAGTTCTGGTTGAGGCAGGTCCTTTCAATTAATTTCTTTTGTTTTTACGTTTTTAAATTGATTTTGACAGAGAGAGCAAGAAAGAGCATGTGAGTGAGTGAGAGGGGAGAGGCAGAGAAAAAGGGAGAGAGAGAGAATCCCAAGCAGGCTCCACGCTGTCAGTACAGAGCCCATTGTGGAGCTTGATCTCATGAACTGTGAGATCATGACCTGAGCCAAAATCAAGAATTGGTTGCTCAACTTAACTGAGCCACCCAGGCACAACACCCCCCCCAACCTTTTTAAATTTATTTTGAGAGAGAGAGAGAGAGCAAGCTTTCAATTCATTTCTGATGAAACTGCCTATTATCCATAGTGCTTTGACAACAGCTTGAAAAAAATGTGTCTCTGCCAGGACCATGGTCATCCTGGGTCCATGGCAACAGCATGAACCCATTTTCCTTTTTATAAAAAAAAATTATTTAGAGAGAGAGTGTGCATGCATGAGCATGAACTGGGGAGGGGCAGAGAGGGAGAGGGAGAGAGAGTATCCCAAGCAAGCTCCACGCTGTCAGCACAGAGCCTCATGCAGGGATTGATCCCACGAACTGTTAAGATCACGTGTAACCTGAGCAAAATCAAGAGTCAGACACGTAACCGACTGAGCCACCCAGGCGCCCCCATTTTCCTTTAATTGGCTGAAGCCAGAAAACAGGAGTTGGGCTCTGGGGACTCAGGTCTGGTAGGGGGTGGCTGAAGAGCACCAGCATCAGGCTCTGGCTCAGGCCGAAGATGGCAAGTAGACCCTGGTGGAAAGATGGCCTCCCCCAGTGCTTCCGGATACTGCACAGAGGTCCTGGGTCCACAGAAAAGGAGACCACTGGTCACCTCAGGAGAGTTTCCAAAGCTTCCGGAAAGTAGTTTGTGAAAGTCCACTGAGTTAATGGGACACTGGATGACTGACCTGACGTCTTCTTTGATAGGAGGCCAGGCTGTCCAGCCTCATCCAGCTGCACTGGTCTGGATTAGCTATTTCCAGGGGGCAGAGGGCCCTTTTCACGAGGTACAGAGGTCTGGGAAGGCTCTCTCGTGACGGTCATCTCATGCAACACTCACTCATTCTGCAAATCATTATTGAAGCCCTACGTGCAGGGTACTGTGTAGATGGGTTCCCAGGGTATAGAACCAGAAGGAGCTACCAGTGTGGTGCAGGGTGAGGGGGACCCCAAATTTCTGGACTGTCAAGTTAGGTAATTTTAAGTAGTAGTGAGTCTCACTTTACATTGGCACTGCCTTCCACTGAGTCCCGGCCTTGGGGTTGTGGGATAGTATACCTGGTGGGGAACTCCCAGAGAAGCTCTGTCACCGTGGCTAGGCCTGTCCCCCCTAGGGCCTTCTGCATGCAGAGGGGAGCTCTCGCTGCATTTTTTCTGACTTCTCCTCTGTGCTCCACTCCCAAATCACTTGGGCCATGACCTGTGCAGACGTGAGAAGAGGGCCTGTGTCTAGTCTTTGGAAGTGATTATTCAGGGCCGCAGTACACAGTTGTATCATTTGTGTACCCGGCCAACAAGGCTGGTGGGGCTGGATGGAGCTGAGATGATGAAGCCATGTGCCCACAGGGCTAGCATCACCGAGAGGATGATTTTCTTTCTAATTCAACATGGGGATGTGTATGGCAGGGCGAACATTTATCTAGTTGGCACAAACGTGCCTCATAGGCTAGTGGGGACCTGTGATTACCAGAAGAAAGTAAGAGAGCAGGAGAAGCAAAATCATTTCTCTCCATCAGATAACTCTCTGAAAAGCCGGAGAGGCCAACCCTGGTTAGGGTCCTGTTGTTCCTATCCTTTTGAAACACCTCCACCCCTCCGATAAATTGCCAGTGGGCATCACAAGGGATTCACAACAATAATAAGGCGGTCAAGCTACACTCTGAGGCAACTGGACACATTTCAGAGGAAGAGGCCCCATTTCCCAGTTCCACCCTGAGAGCTGGCCAGAAACCCTTCTGTCTGTTCCTTAACTCCCAGGCATACTCCCAGGTGTGCTATGCACAGAGTGCACTGTGTTTCTGCGCCCCCCCAACCCCGCCCCCTGCCTCCTTCATCTCTGAGGTCATGGCCAGGGTCAAGGGAAAGGAGTACACAGTATTTCAATTCTAGTGACCACCGACAGGAGGCTTCTAAGCAAGGTCCTAAGCTCTCATCGCTCACTGAGGCTCAGGTAGAAGGGAGCAGAAGCTAGAGAGAGCTCTCAGTGAGTGGGGGTGCGCCACCAACAAGGAATTCAATGACACAAGGACACCCACAAAGAGGCACTGCAAAGACGTAGTGGGATAGTAAGATGAATAGATTTAATCATTCTTGTTTGAAAAACAAGACATAAATTAGTATATATATATATAATTTATATATATTTATGTAGTATATATACTATATACAGACATTAGAAAATGTGTCCTCTCCGTGAGGCTGAGGGAGAGGTAAAGGATGGCGGTGAAATGACACAGGCAGGGCCTGAGTGGCAAAGGTGCAGGATCAAGAAGTTGGGAGAAGAGGAAGACCACGACAGCGCTCAGGCTTGCAGTGGTCACGGAGGGAAAGGGGTTCCCCACTGGCTGCATCTCTGGCCCATTAAACAACTTGGTCCTGTGGGAGGAAAAACAAGGAAGGGGGGTGCTGGCTCCTGCAGACGGAGCTCCCCTAATCCTTGCCAGGAGAAATTACCACTCGGTTGGGGGGGGGGGGAGGGGGCTTTATTGCGCTGGGCAGGGGTTAAGCACAGTGTACATCTTTATAAAACTCACGTAAGAATGAGAGATTTCACACCAACCTCTCACGTAACGATGAAAGAGAGGCAGACACAGGGCACGAGCGTGTGGCAAACGGGAGGTATGGAGAGGTGGACAAGAAGCAATCTATACAGAAGAAACATTGGCTTTCTTTGTTCCCTACAGGGGGACCTTTGGTAGGGACTCCGTGTCTTCACTCCCAGGAAGGTTGTGGGGGAGGGGGCGGTGGGTGGCGCCAGCAGTAGATGTGTGTCAAGGAGGATGCTAAACAGTGTGAATTCCCTTCCAGATGACTCCGGAGAGACAGAGAGAGAGACAGAGAGAGAGACAGACAGAGAGAGAGAGAGAGAGAGAGAGAGGTGCAGGACTGCACCGGGTAAGGCGCTCAGCTTCTTTTCTTAGAGAGACAAATCCACAGGGTCAATACACAGCCAAAAGCATATACTCGGGATTAACATATCACGCTAGCTTCCAGAAGTTTAAGATATAGTCATCGACACCCCCCCACCCCTC